GCTGAACTTCATTCCTGTTACTTGTTTTTGAAAACTTGAGTAAGAAATAGAATTGGTGAAAATCCGTTATTGTTACAAGGTTGGCATTAAGTCTACTTTATGAGGTGCTTTTATGGCAGTGATTGATTTTTAATTCCCCCTTTTCATTCCTGAAATCTGCACATTAATAGCACCTTCCATTTCAGCATGCTCTACGAGCATGCATCTTCTGTTTTCTGCAAGAGGCTGCATGCAATCCTGCTAGCAAACTTTCGTGTCATAAGTAGAATTTGTTCAGGAAATAAAAATATATTGTTTTCATTGTTAGAGGATGCTACTAAATTGGCTGTATGTTTGTCTAATAATCATATCTAAAGCTGATTATTCTGGTAATAGCCTTAAGATATTATTTAAAAATAAATATATAAATGCACTGCTTTTGTACTAATACAAGTTTTTAATCTCTTCTTGTTTCTATGAAGTCTGAATGAGATTTTCAAAATTGAATAATAATTTGATCCGTTAATCTTTTGAAGCTAGTAATTTTATTTTTCCCTCTTTGCAGTCTCTGAGGCTCGCAAATGAATAGAGCTTCATTACTGGAGTCTGCATTTAATAACCATTATCCATTATCTTGTAATTAAGACTCCCTGTAACGAATCATGAGGACAATGCAAAAATACATAGTACATTTCTTTAATGAACTGGAAAATGTTCATCTTGTTCTATTTAGTAATGAGTTGCTGAATAGTCGTTAAATCCACTGGAGAATAGAGCTAGATGGATTTTGAAGACTATCTTGAGTTTGTAGTTAATCTATTAGAATTAAAATTTCATCTTCTATTTTTATCAACAGCTGATTAGAAGTCATTCTGTTTGACCAAATTGATTAGAAGACCATATACAAGGGCAGCTGTTGTTTAATGAAAGTTTTTAATGAAACTGTACCATAGAGACTTGTAATTATAAGACTTATAAAAGCTTTGACTTACCTTATACTAGAAAAAATGTGAAGTATTGCACTGAAGGACTTTTAAATGCTACATTTTGAAAGGGAAATTAAAAATATAATTTGGTGATGTTGAAGTTTCACTTCCACTGTTACTTGTTTTAATGTGACAATCGGATGTCCGTAGTGTCTCTGGAAGGGATTAGCTCTGAAATATGTAACTCGATTGTCTCTGTGCTCCATTCTTTGCAAAGCTCAATCAACTATTAATTGCCTCTTTTGTGCACTGCACATTCTCTGGAGTTAGAACTTTTTCCACAGAAAATTGTTTCTCTTTGGAATGGAAATTGTCGCAGGAGGGTGCAGTTTAATCACCAATGGGCCTAGATGGGAAGCCTACAGAGAAAACTATGCTCTTACGAGACACAGTGTTAGTGATACCATTTGTGTTTAAATCACAGGGCACAGGAACATGCCTGGCTTTGTCTTAATGCCATCAAGGCTGAGACCTAGCTGAGTGCCAGTTGGCTGTGTCATCAGGAAGGTGGGTCTCTGGAGTGTGCTGCAGCACACCGTCAGAGTGTAGTCTAGGCAATTCTTTAGTTTGAGCCAGTAGTGAAACTTCCCTTGCTTACTCTAGGGAATGCTGTAGAGGTATCATCATTCATATAAGAGACAAAATGGACCCTAAGCCAAAGCTGAAGTGGAAGCAGATGCAGTTCCAATTGACTGAAGTGGATGATGCACTACGACACGATGGTTGAATTATCCCACTTCTTCTCCCGATTACTTTTGATAATTAATGATCCCACAGTACATCTTTTCTAAGAAGTAGGTTCCCAGGGATTAAGTGCGCCCTAATGCAATTAAAGAAGTTTTGTCATTGTATTGTGTCAGTTCAGGATCATACAGTGCAAGGCAAATTTTTTGGTTCACTTTTTAGCTTTTTGTTATATTGTGCTGCAGGATTCATTTTAGTTCAACCAGGAACAGCAAGAATGCACAAGAACATTACACAAGTATTCAGGACAGGTAGTGGAGACTACTGTTCACAAGTGAGAAGCCAGGAAAAATAAGGCAAGGTTAACTCTTCTTTAACTAACACAGATGTTTTGACCTTGTTACTGCATTATATCAGACCACGGGTTTAAGTGTAGTAATTTGCAATGTTACAATTGCAAAATGCATAAGAAGAGAGTTTTTACCCTGTTTACGGTATTACACATCTGGTTTCAAAAATACATATGGGATTCCTTTCACTTTAAACAGCTGCAGGAGATACAATACTAGACTGTCAAATGTGAGACTAAATAGATGCAAAATTTAATTAAAACCCTATATATTCTATTCAGAAAGATCCTTGAGGAAATCCTACAAAGTTGATTTATATGCAGAATTTATTCAGAGGAAATAATTTCCATTGTTGTACTTAGACACATTCCTGTTCATGCATTTATACAAATATATTGAGTGTCTGTACAGGAACATATATCTTATTGGACTGTCCTGAAGAGATTGTTAGTCTGATAGCTAAAGCAGAGAATTAAGAGCTTGGATGTTCATTTAGCCGCTGGAGTGTCTGGCTTGCTGTGAAACCAGATGGATATCATCCTCCTGCTCTAGCCTTGACCAGAGCAAGGTTAGCACCATCATCACAGGGATGTACATGTAAAGGAATGGTTCATAATTGCTGTGAAGCATAAGATCATCTATGGAGAGTGTGAACTACATATGTGTGGAATGACTCTTGTTCTAAAGCTACCATAAAGCTTTTTACCTCGTTTCAGGTTCTGATTTTATAAAGACGTCTACAGGAAAGGAGGTGGAAAATGCGACCTTTCCAGTTGGAGTAGTCATGATGCGAGCCATTAAAGAATTCTACTGGCAAACTGGCTACAAGGTACTTCTTGCTACCTTTATAAAAATTAACCAAACAGGCTCATTCAGAAAGAAACAGGACTGTTTCAAATTGGTTTCAAAATGCAGAACATACAAATCCACGTACATTAGCTTCCATGGCTATAGGAGCCATGGTAATGGGACTTCTGTCTTATATGTCTCATTTGATTTGCTATTATTCGAGTGCTTAAAAAAACAAACTCAAAAGGCACTTTTGGCTTTCCTCCCTTGAACAACTGTCACTTCATTCCCTAAAAGCTCATGCAATCTTCATGCATCCCCTGGTGCATTCGGGTTTGAATTTTGTTTCACCATTTAAGGTATTTAAATGGTCATCTCCAGCTGATAGTGACCGGCATACTCCCATAAACCACAGTGGAGCTATACAAATTTATAGCCACTGAGAGTCTGTCCAGTGTACACAACTGTATTTTCTGACTTTGTTCTGGTAACCCAAGAGATAAATTCTGCTCTTTCCTCCCTTGCCAAAGGGACTTTCCAAAGGGACAAAAAGGCAGATCCAGTTGGATCCTGTTATGTGGGATGGAGGGAGAGAGGGGCTGGAGCCAGAAAAATATCATGTCCTGGTCCACAACATTTCTCTCTCATGTCAATGTCAAATGAGGTCAGTGGATGCAAGGAGCAGGGGGGAGCGTATGGCAAAGCCAGTGATGAACTATACATGCATCCATGCTTGTGCTGAAGCAGTGAGAAAGGAGGAGGTTATTCAGGAAGGCTTAAGTCACCTCTCACTTCCTTTATCTACATGCAAATGGTGGCTGCCAGTTAGATCTGGTGCTGGTGTTCAGCAGCAGGCTTTGTCTTCACCTGCAGCCTCAGGAAAGAAAACAGTATCTCTGAGACTCACATTTCTGGGTCACCCTTCTGTCCTCTCCAGCTCACCCTTCTGGAAGTGGCCTTTCCAAAGGTATGATGTTAGGACATGGGATGAGCAGTGGGATAGGAGCTGAGATGGCTTCAGGGGCTGTTGGAGCTAGAGGAGCATGTGACAGCAGGTTAGGCGTGTGTCCATCTGCTGTCTGTGGTCATCTAAATGAGGCCAGTGTGATTCCTGGGCTGTCCTCACTCCTCCCTTCCCCAGCCTGCATCTCCCTCTGCCACACCACAACTCGAGCAGCTTGGGTAGTCTTGCTTCTGCGGGAACATTGTCAGTGCTCCCAACCTGAGGCATATCCCTGGGGCTGGGTGACTCACCTTGGCACTGCTGCTGCTTATATGAGCTGTGTGCCAGAGGTTGGGCTCTGCTGCATTAACACAGCTTTGTACCTATAATTGGATATAAATGTTGAATTCGCCTTTTGCTTTAAAAGGATGCATTCATGGTTTAAAATGTGTTATTAAGAATGAGTGCTTATGCCTGTGTGCATGTATGTGTCAGTGAATTAGATGTAAACTGACTTTATGTGCTTTTATTAACTGAAGACAATATTATCACTGACAAGAGATTTCTAAATGGTTTCTTTAACAAACTAATTTTACAGCTGTAGGGATGCTTTCTAGCAAGGCGTTGGCTTGGAAAAACAGGTTAATACAGAAATTAAACTTCTTCAAGGAAAGGAACAAGTTGCAGAGTAACATTTATTGACTGATAAGCTGTGGTGGTGATATGAAAAGTGCGCAATATAATGGGAGATAATCTTTTCCTGTCATTATTGAAGGACATACATAAATTGGTTTTTCTGTTGGGAAAACCCCCAATCCAGAAAAACTTATTACTTTTAATAATATAAGGTGAAGAGAAAATTCTTGAGGAGATGAACTTATTAAGCAAAATAATGAAATGCTGTGAAACAGCAGGAAAGTGGTAGCTGGACTTTGTACTGCTCTTGAATTAAATTCCAACCCCCCTTCCTTTTTACCTTTTTATGGCAGTCAGATGTGCTGTTTGGAAGGCTGGTAAATGGAGGACAGGCTTGTCTTTGTAAGCTTTTTTTATAAAGAAAAGAGCTTTCAGAATTTGCTAGAAAAAGAAGGAATTCCGCATGGTGCTTTTAATTCTCTTACTAATTCTATTTTAGTTGTGGGTTTTTTTCCCACAGATTATCTCAAAGAGCTGTAATATTTCTAGGAAGAAATCTAAATTTGAATTTCATTAGGATTTCTCTTCCTGAGGGAAAACACATTCCAACTATTTTAATTTATTGTCTAGAAGATGCTTTTCCAGTTGCAGTGGTTTAAATTCATTTTGGAAATCTAATGTGAACAGATGTATGCATACACTCATGCATGCATGCATCCATCCATCCATCCACAAAAAACCCCAGTCTTCATGTTTTGGATTTATCTTTTTTTTTTTCTGTTATTGTTCTTTATAATCTTATTGGAAATATGCTGTTATCACAGTGCTTCAGAGTGAGAGAAGGATTTATTCTGTGTTTGTTTGTCCTGAAATCACTATAACAAAAATTACCAAGCACATTTAAAAGCAGATACTTTTTGATTCCCCTATTATATCCATAAGGTACAAAGAAATCCTCAATGCAGTGAGGTTTCAGGAACAAATATGCAGAAATCAGAATGATAATTCTTGCAGAAGGCGGCTGCCAGGAAGAAGTGTGGAAGGTAAAGGTTTATGGCAGAGGGAAATGTAGAAAGAATCATTGTGTGCTACTGTACAGATTGTTCAGATGTAATTATTGCATTTTGTTAATGCAGAAACACTTTTTCCTAACTCTCCTGGTTTTTCAAGGGGTTACCAAGCTGCTACAGGCCAACATTTTAGCTAATGCAAGTGACAAAATTTTTGATGAGGGATTTGATAGTTGCATGTCATAGGCTCTGTCTCAGAATGGGATGAGTTTAAATTACAGCTAACCAAAAGACTGGTGCTAGGGGTTCATGCCATGTCACGTTAGTGCTGGCTCTGCACAGCAAGTTGATCGAGGGCTTCAAAAGAGTCTTTACCTCAAAGATACGTTTTTCTTGGCATGTGTGTCTCTACTTACATGGCAGTTCCCCTGACCAAATATGACGTTTATCTCACATCAAGTGACTGAAAGCTTATGCACTGTGTTGGGAGGGAAGTTTTGCAGTTCCTGTGAAACACAAAACTTTCATTTCTTTTTATAGTCAGACCTAATTTAATTCCCATTTGGAAAATTTTAGTGAGAATTAAACCTCTGATAGGTTCGAATGTACATCCCAATCATGTATTAATGTGGTGCACAGTCTGTTTATAAAGAACAACCACCTCTCCCCGCTATCCTCATGAGTCAGCTGCCTCACATGCTTTATTTCAGCATTTTTAGTGTTATTGTATGTATATTTGTTGTTATATATTTGGAATTAGTTTACAACATGGGCAGTAGATGATACGCAGATATCCCAGGTCCTGCCTAAATCCCTTGGCCTAATATGTGCTGTGAGCTAAGTACTCCTGTTAGACCTCATACCCCCCTCCTTACAAAGTGCACTGGGGTCAAAAGCATTACTCCCTCAGTTGCCATCCCTCGTGATGAAAATGTTATCTTTCATAGTGATGGCTGAAGCTTGATAGCTCTCAGCACTAGTCTGGAGCTGATACTGTTTGCAGGCAGATACTTACTGAGTAGAGTTGTTACATACACCACAGGCACTTTGAGACTGCAGGTGTACAAATGCTGATTGCTCTTGTAGGGTTGCTGATGAATGAAAATGTGTATTGTGCTTCTTTTCACTATATAAAGGTTGGATTTAAACCTGCTGGGGGCATTCGGACAGCAAAAGAAGCTATTACTTGGCTTATGCTGGTGAAGGAGGAACTGGGAGTGGAATGGCTAACACCAGAGCTCTTTCGCCTGGGTGCCAGTAGTTTGCTGGAAGACATTGAGAAACAGGTTAGTTGTTAATGGTTTTCAGCTTGGTGGAGGATAAAACCAATCTTTCTAAATGTGCTGGCTTACTGTTGTTGCAGAATATGCTTTTTGGTGCTGTTTAGATGATAATAGAATGTACATCTAGTTCATTATTAAAGACAGGTTCACTTCCAGCCCACTATTTCTTTAAATTTGGCCTGTTGTTACAGACATATTCCAGCAGCTGGCAATTGCCTGGGCCAGGTTTGCAATGCACTGAGCAAAGAGGCTTAGTTTGTAGAATTTCAGAGTCTTTTGCAAATGCATGGTAGTGCCCTCCTCTGCACTCCTAGCTGTTGCCAGTTCAGCTGACCCTAAAGATATCTCACAGACCCTTTGTGTCACTGTGCTGCAACTGTTCACAATATATTTCCATGCTGTGGAGAAAGTCACGTCTCACCCTACATATGGTACTGCTGATAGAGAAGGTTTTACATATTGATTATTTCCTGGGGAAGAGAAGCAATTGCCTCCTACAAAGCCTCATTTTTCTAATTGCTTGTATTTTTACACAAGCTGGTTGCTGTGTTTCCTGGCAGGAAAACAGTGTATGAGGTGAGGTGGCAACATGTAGTGCCTGGTGGGCAGAGAGATTCTGACCTGTCTACCCACAACCTACCTCACTGGTGCAGGGTATCAACCCTGAAGGCTACAGCATAGTTGAGAAGCAATAAGCAATTTTGGGTACTTTGAATATCATAAAATGATACTGAAATGATCAAAACGAGATCACAGTGAGAGTAAAGCATTGTCTTCTACCTTGCTCTTCCTGAAAGCTTAGTTAAAAGCAAAAAGAGTCATTGCTTTTTTCTTTTTTTCCAAGCAAAGCAGCAAAACCCCTTAGTTTGGATCCTGTAAACAGATATGTAAAGGTATATTACATCATATTTTATGCACACACACATAGACACAAACAAATACCCATCACCTTCATCTGGCATGCCTTTAATTTGTTACTTGACACTTTCAGATTTATAGACATATGCAATTCCATTGTAAATTTTCTTTTTTCTTGCAGATTTTCTGTCATGTGACTGGCTCTTATCCACTTCAGCATGACCTGACAATGGCTTAGACACAAAATCAACTCAGGATTACTTTTACAAAAGAGGTCTTTAAGCAAACAGCATTCAGAAGTCTTCTGACAACCAAATGCATATGATAAAATTAAAAGACTAATTCTCCCTTCTTCATATTCTACAGTATTTAAAAATATGCTCAAGTCTGCTGGTTGTACTTGATCCAAAAGCAGAAAAAATGGTAATTCTGAAATAGTTAAATAGTTAATACTTACAGATTTGCAAAGTTAATCTTGCAAAGTCTTCCTCAGACTAGCCTGAAAAGCTTATTAATGGCAACACTGAAATACTATGAAAAAGATTTAGGTGGCCTGGTAACACTTTGCAGTCACAGAATATGAAATATCTGTGGAATGTTTCAGATTACTAATTAAGAGCTACAGATCTTGGAATAGCTTTCCATTCACCTCAGACAAAACCTTCTGCCACAGATGTGTTGCACTATTAATTGCTATGTTGATTCACTTTCAAGCATTGTAACCTGAGAAAATGAAACTTGCCTATTACTTTCTTCTATAAAATGTCTCTGCAGCAAAAATACACCCTTTTTTTTGGTATTTTTTTCCCCCAAACTTGGGCACAGACATCCATATTTAGACCCTTGAATAAAGGTGGCTTGATTTCTAGAACAGCTGAGTATCCACAGTTGCTCCTGAAGTTAATGGGAGCTCTGGGTGATCAGAACAACTGAAAATCAAGCAGCCTCTATATAGGTGCCTAACTATGCATTCAGGGGCCTATTTTCAGGCATTTCACTCTTAAATTTTAGTCTTACTTGCTTAGAAGCTTCCATTCCTGTCTCCTGTCATTTTAAAACACATTCATGCAAATCTTTGCATTTTAATGTAGGGGGGTTTGACTGTCATTTTGCAGGTGTCACTGCTATGCTGGCTTCACCTTGGTCATTCTAAAAGCAATTTTTAAATTAAAAAGGTGATTTGAATTGTGTCCTATACAGGGTTTATAGCTTTAATATAAAAAGTACTTTTCTTGGAGGACATTAAGAATAGTACCGAAATCATCAACACCTTTTGAATATCAGACTACAGCTAGTAGATTCATTATTTTAGAGCTGCATTCTGCTCACTAACCAGAGTTGTACTATAAACTTAATTATCTTATCATCATGACTAGTCTCACTGACTTAAGTAGGTCTCATCAGGGAAGTAAGAGAAGGAGGATTTTGCTGTAAATCAAGCTACAAAGGTACATTTATTACAAAGAGATCTGTACTTCATAAAGATAATAACTTAGTTATTTATCTGGCTGTACCACCTGAATCACTAGTGCTCTACTGAACACCTTAGACAGATAGGAAAGCTGAATAGGAAAAAAAAAGTCATAATCAGAGAAACAACATCTACAGAAAATAAAATCCTATATGCAGTGCTCAGAACTAAAAATAGGCCTTAATTTCCCAGGAAGTAGTTTGTCCAAGGCTCCCAGCCTTTTTCTGCTTCAGGTGTCAACGCAGAAAATGAGTCTGTGCAGTGACCATATTTTCACATGTCTGTTTTCCTGTAAAGTGGCCTTTTTTGCTACAGGTTTTCCTTCTGATTTTTCTGCCAGTTTCCTGAAGGAAAAATCCAGTGCCTGTTTGCATATTTAGGGGAAAATTCTGCTGCTGAGCTTGCAGAAATACAGAGCCTGTTCTATGAAGTCGGCTCCCACCAGGTATTTGCCAGGTTGACCCTCTGCCCTCCCAGCAACCACACATTGGATTTTGTTCTAGCCGTTTAAATGTTAGAGTGTATTTCAATACATTCACAACAGAGAACACCTTACTTGCAAAGTACACTTTTTTATTGTTGGTTGTCTTTTGGACATTTAGGGCAAAGATAGAAGCTGTTTTTTGGAGCTGCTTTAGTTTCTAGGTGAAGGACTCTCTGTAGTTCCTTAAAATTAATGAAGGTCCAACTTTGCCACCTATTTAACGTGAGTACCTTTGAGAACAACCTCACTGTTTCAACAGGAGCTACATGTCGATTAATGAACTTGCCAGGAGGAACTGTTTATATTTCTATTGACAGCCCCCCTTCATTTTGATGTGCACATCAAAATGGGCTGCTGCTAGTTACTTTGCTTCCGAGGGAAGAGGCTCGTTTGCGGCGGGAGAGGTTCAGCTTCCTGAAAAGTCAGAGATAGCTGCTTCCCTGTTCCATGAACATTACAAACACACCGGTGTGAAATACTGTGCAAATCCAAGCCAGCCAGTGTTTTGGGAATAGCTGGATTGGAAAGTAATTTAAGCATTTTTCTGTTGAAACCTGTAATTTTGGGGGGAAAAAAATAAATATCTAAAAGTAACAGAATCTGTAAAGACATTCAAATAAAGATGATCCTGGTTTTGAGGTGGGGTTTTTTGAGGAATAAGCAGAAGGCTCAGTGTTACGGAGTGACTGCTTGTTAACTTCTGTCTGACTCAAGTGAGTTGTATTCGTATTGTCTGTGGTTGTAGATGCCCGATGTGACCCAGAGCCTTGTCTATCACTCCTACAGAAGCTGCTGGTTCCAGCCAGGTGTTGGTCCGTTGACACCCCAAGGTAACGCGAGGGGATGAAACTGGGCTGGGGCTCCCATCAGGAGCAGCAGGGGACTGGCGTGGAAACTTACAACAAAGCATGTCCAGGGAGCCCATCTAGGGGACAGATACCAATAGCACAGGTCCAAGGTCTGCTCTGGAGGTAGAGGCAGGGCTGGAGACCAGTGCTCCTGCAACATAGGTCAGGGAGGTGCTGAGCTAAAGTGGGGCTCCTGGGTCCCTGCCGTAGGTGGAGAGAGGATGGGCCAGTGGTGTTGCTGGACTTACTCCAGTGCTGAGTCCGTGAGATAGCCAAAACCAGGGTATACAGGCACTAACATGCGTTTGGATCTCAGGTCAGAGACCAGTGTGCCAGGACCTACATCCTCACCCCTGGGGAAATAGAATCCCTCACAGTGTGGTCTCCTAGGCTTGCTGCCCTTAACCCTGACCAAGGCTTCCACTGCCCTCTCCTCCACCTTTCCCATCACTGACACCGTTTGCTGCTGTTTAGTTCCCATGGTTAGGAGGCATTTGAGATTTATCGAGGCTGCTGCAGCTGGATGTCACTCCTGCAGACAGCATGTGAAAGGCGATGGGGACCTGAACTCATCACAGAGAGGGGGCAGCACTCTGTCACTGCATAGACTTTGGGAAAAGTTCAGATTTAGCACTGTGCTTCAGGCCATTAGAAAAGGAACAGGCAATTATGCTCTCCTGTCTAAATATATTTCAGAGTGTAACATATGTTTTGTGCAAGTCAGTCTTGTATACTAATTTATTATTTTTATAACACTTATTCATTTAGGATTTTAAATAGCTTCATTTTATAGACCACATTACTTAGAAAAAAAAGAGAATAAATTAAAGAAGAAAGTAAAGTAGAAACTGCAAATCTAGAATATTCTGCATCAGTTTATTTACAAGAAGAGGGAATTGGGATAGAGGGTAAGCTTTTTTCCTGATTTGTAGGAAACAAAGATATTAAATAGTAATTATATGTGAAGGGTACATATCAGCTGGGGCAAGTAATACTTTGATATCTTTATTTCATCAGTCATATAAGTTCATTCTTTCATTTCCCTTGTGAAGTAGGGAACATACATTATATACTGTAGCACAGGCTGTGGAGACAGAAAAAAATTATCTACTTTTAATTTTATTTTGCTCAGTTGGAACTTTGCCTCCCTGCCTCCCCTGGGGGCAAAACCACACAAAACAACAGCAAGTTTTATCCAGATCTTGGTGAGCTTTTGCTGAAATTACCAGTGCTGATGTCTGGATGTTGTGTATAGTGGGTGGGAGGAGTAAAATGAGAGAACTGCCTTTAGTTAGATGTAGCCTGCCCAGAAAAGAAAGAGAATTGTCCATCTTGTCAGTCCTTATTTAATAGGGCAACCAAGGATAAGAGTATTCTTAATATGCAAAGGCACCATAGGCAAAATTACTGATTGACCATGTTTATTAAAAATCCCAGAAAGCCAGAACTGTGCGAGATTAAGAGGTGGTAAGACTTAGAAAGAAAGAAGCATCAAGAAAGGAATCCTTGCACTTCCTAAAAGCAAGAGTAAGAAGTGATGGGCAGCTGTCAGGCCCCAACCAGCTACATTGTAGAGACCTTTCCTCAGTTCTAGACAATTGACAGATCTTTCCCCTTCTTTGAGGACCTACAGTAACTTAGCAAAGGAAGTGTGACAAAGTTGTTCTAATGTCCTTCAATGAAAGCTAACATTGATGCAATGAAGGAGTGCCAACAAGATGCTCTAGCTGTTCCTAATGAGTCTGATGATTTTAAGTGGCTCTGTTTTGATCAGTGGGGACATCTTGTGGATTGCTAATTCTTGGAAATTGCAGAAAATTTGGTCTTCTGAAAGCAAAGCTTTCTTGAGTCATAACAATTCTTTGAGATCATAGGGAGTGTTTGAAAACACTGAATTTAAAAGCATCACTTTAGAATGTCCTTCTTAGCTGAGATGAAAACAAAAGATGTTTTAAAGAATATTAAAAAACTGAGGAGCTTGTACCAGAATTGACTACACTTGTTTTCTTCAAGTCTGGCTTTCTGTATGGGAGGAGTAGAGGAAGGAACTTTGCAGGCTTAGCTGGTGGAATTCACCATCCTCTCCATACAGTACAGTGTCGTATAAAACCAAATCCCAAAATGGATGATGGTTTGCTGAGAAAAGCAAGGGAAAGTTTTATGAGCTAATTTTTCCATTTCGATATTACCACGAGCTCTCTTTTTATTCATACAATCACAGAATGGTTTGGTTGGAAGGGACCTTAAAGACCATCTAGTTCCAACCCCCCCCTTCCCACTAGACCAGGGATACTTCCCACTAGACCAGGTTGTTGCTCCAAGCCCCATCCAACCTGGCCTTGAACACTGCCAGGGATGGGGCAGCCACAGCTTCTCTGGACAACCTGTTCTAGTGTCTCACCACCCTCACAGTAAAGAACTTCTTCCTAATATCTAATCTAAATCTCTCCTCTTCCAGTTTAAAGCCATTTCCCTTTGTCCTATCCCTACATGCCCTTGTTAAAAGTCCCTCTCCAGATTTCTTGTAGGCCCCCTTTAGGTACCGGAAGGCTGCAACAAGGTCTCCCCTGAACCTTTG